GCGGCGCACGAGGCCCCGGAGCCGCCGGCGCCGGCACCACGGCGGCTGGCGGCGGCGGCGGCAAGCCCGTGGGCCCGAACCGGGAGGACAAGGCCTTTGAGATGCTGCCCGACTTCTGCCCGCCGCTGGGCTCGCTGCCCGCGAACCGGCCCAACTGCCTCAAGGTGGACTGGAAGGGCAACGCGCTCGACCTGACAAACGACCCGCACGCGCACCGGCTTCACCCGGACGAGCGGCTGCTCGCCGCGGGCCTGCGGCTCGACTGCGCCACGTACCTGACGAGCAAGCGCCGCATCTTCATGCGCCGCCTCGAGTGCGCCCGCATCGGCAAGGAGTTCCGCAAGACGGACGCGCAGCAGGCCTGCAAGATCGACGTCAACAAGGCGTCCAAGCTCTGGACCGCCTACGAGCGCGTCCGCTGGCTCGATGTGGAGTGGATGAAGCCCTACATCTGAAAGTCTGTTTTTGGGGGCCGTCATTGCTTCCCTCGGTCGTCTTTTGCTTCCTTACTACTTTGATTTCTTACCCTTTTACTTCCCACCCACCACTCGACTCGACCTCGACGACATGTTTACGACTTGACATATCAGCACACCTATCTACTACCCCTTTTATGAGCGCCTCGGATTATTTCCATCTTTTTGCCATGTCCCTCCGGGCTTGTCTAGTTATGTTGTTTTTCCGCTACTCTCCGGATGGTTTGCATTGGTCGGTTATTGGTTTACTGGCATCGGTTTGGACGGATGGGCATTTCTTTCTTCGTGATTTTGGACGGACATCATACCCCCTGGATACACCATCATGGTCATCCCTTCACCAACTTTGCTTGGTCGCTCCGGCGGTTTTCCTTTGTCCTGGTTTGGGTTTCTGTCTCTCCCCTTTAACAGAGCTTGGGACTGGCCCCAGCAGAGATTGTTTGGTTGGTTGCGTTTTCGGGTTTCCATTTTCTTTTGGCTCGCTGCTCTTCCCCTGCACGTTTCTTTTCCCCTCGTCTTCCAGCACATATCACCATCATCAACATCATCATCACATCACACCAAAGCATCAAAGGGGGGTTTATCTCAGACCAACAATGATACCCGGAGCTGCGCACGACTACGAAACGAATAAACAAACAAAACAACAACACGCGCGTCATCCCACCATCCCAGTTTCGCCCGTTTACGTGTCACTCCACTCCACTAGCATCTACACACCTTTTATAATCCTTTGTCTTCTTTGGGGCTTTTTTTTCCTTTTGTTTATGGCTTGGCTCAGAATTGGGCTTTGTACAGCCGTCGCCCTCTAGGTGATCGGCTCCGGTTTCCTGAAAGGCGGGAATTTGCATTTTCGTCTTTTGCTCTCTGGGCTGATGATGCCACTTGGTGGGCCAAGACCGGGCCACACATACAGTACCGTCTGGCTGTTGGCATACGGGGTGGTTTCTCTTCTCGGAGCTTGCCCTCAAGCCAGACTTTTTTTTTCTGCTTTGGTCTCCTGCCTTGGTTGTTCAAGCCACCTTCCTGCTGTCCCTGGTAGGAGCGAGATTGGAATATGGGGAGCAGCAGGGACTTGAAATAGCTGGTTTTAGCAACCCAGTGTACATAGGTTGTGCCGCTCACTAGGAGCGGCACTGCTGGCCCCAGCACATTCTTACGACGGATAAACAAGAGTGAGCGCCTTGGGGCCAGACAGACTATGCAAAGAGGTAAAGCCTGTCATTGCAGTCTGGCGAATCGAACCTTGTTGCGGACCAAAGGAAAGCAAAGCCAGCCTCTACCGATGTGTGCGCGTGTGCCAGGCCTGTATGGACGAAACTCGAGCCTGTCCGTCTGTTGTTGCAGTCTGCTCGTCTCGGCGGGTTTGTGGTTGCTTGCCTGAGCGTGTTTTCACATGCTTTTTGTTTACTGACCGACGACGTCTTTACAACAACTTGCCCACCCAGCTGGGACTTGCTGGCCCGACTCAACCTCCCTCCTCGACGCCGTCTCCGCTGTGGACACGATCCGTCGCGCGTGTCACCCAAATGGATCGGACCCTTGCTTGCCCCTAGGTCCGCATGTCCCTCTCCCGCCCGCCCGCCCGCCCGCCGTTCAGCCCTACAGCGCCATGTTCGTGGATCCCCTCCCCGTCTGCGCTTCCGTTGCATTAGCCCCGGGGTTGGGTTGGTGTGGGTGGCTTGATGGCGCGCGCGCTAAGACAAAAGGGAGAAGAAGGAGAAAATCAATAAGCGGACGATATGGGAGAGCCTCAAGGGGAAGGAACGGCATCGGAATTTGAAAATACGCATTGCCGCAAAATGCAATTGTGGGATGCATGTCAAAACCCAAGGTTTGAAGAGGCTCACTGTAGTGTGATGCACTTGCTTCAGCGGAGCAAACGCCTTGACGTTACACCGTCGCAGCTGCGTCGCCGCGCATCATCGCCACGGCGCAGCCCGCGCAGGTGCGCGGTGTGTTGCGTGCGGCTTGGCCGGGCTCCCCGCGTGTTGCGGTGTTGCGCGCGCGTGTGCGTGGGCGCGCATGTGCGCGAGTTTTGTGAGTTGTGTGTGTGTGCGTGTGTGTGTGTGGCAGCCCACCACCACCACCACCACCACCCCGGACATGGCGCCGCCGCGCAGATGCGATGGTGATCTTTCTACGACGCCGCGCAACTGCGCGGAAAGTTGCCAGCCATGGTCTCTCCTCTTCATTCTAGCCTCCCAAGCCGGCTAAAATGGAAAGGGCGCGTCCTTGCCGCTTGGCGTGCAGCCCGGGGACGGGTTCCGGGCATGCAAGTATGTCGTGCATCGTTTTTGCGTCGTCTTTTTTGGATCGACAATGCGGCGGCCGAACGGCTGGATGTTTTGTTTCTTTCCAGAACAATTCCGTGTTTCAGGACCGATAAGTTTGCGTTTCTGAAACTGGCCATGTTGTTGCCGAAGCGAGTTGATGGTGCTGCGGAAGCGAAGCAATGGAGCGAGTGTGGATGCCTTCACTCAACGTTCGACAACGCTGACTTTAGTGCAGATCCAGGCACGAGCGCCACCCACAATCAAGCCTTTTCCTCTCCTCCTTATGCGGCCCTCTAGGCCGGCCCTACTTCCCACAGGTATTATTATGAGGGGATTGCCCTGCGCCCTCCACGGGCAACCCAACTGGCGGACCGCCTCTGGCCGTGCCTGGTTAAACGGCCAACCACCCGGTCGTTGTTGGCGGCCGTCCAACCGCCTTGGATGCATCTCCCACTTGTCATACGCGCTCCACCGGAAGTTGTCGATAAAATAGACAAGGAGGCTCTTTGATTCTCTCGTCATCAGGTTTCGAATTATATGCTGACGGCGGGCCTCGACGAGTTTGTCGATGATGCCGGTAAGGGCCCGGACCGGTAAGGTTGAGCGGGACCAGGCACACTTGGTCCAGGAGATCCATGTGGACCTCGTCGACTTGGTTTTTGAAGGCCTCGACGACGGCGCCCTCCGCTCCCAAAGCATATTTTAGGGCCGTGTAGAACGCAAATTCGCCTTGGGTGTGCAGGATCTCGCCGTGTTCATTAGCGAGAATGAATATGCTGCACAAAGCAGTTGTCATTTGATAGTAGCCAGAAAAAGAGGTAGCTGGGTTGGGTATATATAATAGATGAGAGAATAGCCCTGCCCATCCTCTGGGCAAAGGCTGGCCAGGCCGGGTATAGATAAGAAATGATAGACAAGAAATGATAGATCAGAAACCCGCCCGCCTCGCGTGAAATCCTGCTAGGCTGTGAATAGATCCTAAAACCGCTCTCCCCTCACGTAAAGTCATAAACCATGAGGCTGTCCCCGCCGTCCGCCCGCTCCTTGAGCACAATCACCATCTCGTCGTCGAACCCGACCCAGTTCCGCCGGTCCTCCCACGCCGCCGGCTCCGCGGCCTCGCCCGACGGACTCCTGGCGGCACGCACCTCGACGCTGAGGCCGTGGGCGGCTTCGACGGCGGCGCCCCCGTCGCGCGTCCTCTTGTGGCCGCGGCCGCCAGCGCCACCGCAACCGCCCCCCTCGAGCTCCCAGACGCGCATCTCGTCGCCGCGGGCGCTGACGCTGACGGCGCGGCCGCGCGACGTGATCTCGGCGTCCGAGATGCCGCTCGTGTGGCCCCACAGCCGGATGCCGCGCGACACGGCCAGCGACGCCGCCGACGACGTGCACAGGTGCAGCACCAGCGTGTTGTCGGGCAGCGTGGCGAGGAGGTACGGGTGTGTGTAGCAGAGCGCCGTGGGCCCGACCTCGTAGTCGTCGTCGTCGTCGTCGTCGTCTTCATCGGGGTCGTCGTCGGCATCGTCAGCATCCTCGTCGGACGATGAGGCAACACGTGGTGTCCTGTCCTGCCGTTGCCGCTGCCGCCGCCGTGGCGTACGATGACGTGCTCTCCCCGTCGACACGGGCTCAGTGTGCGCCAGCCGCGTCGAGCCGACTTCGGGCAGCGGGCGGGGCGTGTCCGCCGTCGGGGCGGCCGTCTTGACGTGGAGGTCTTGGACCCCGATGGACCATCCTTGCCGCGTGACAAAGGTGTAGGCGATGGACGCGATGGTCGTCGACGCACCGGCCCTGCGGACGGACAGGGCCAGCGGCGGCTCCGACGTGACGGACTCGAGCGACGTCAGCAGGTAGGGCGGCGGCCACTTGTTGCCGCCGCCGCCTGCTTGCGCGTTCGAGACGTCTGCGCTGTGGCCGTCAAACGTATAGAGAGAAATGTGCACCGAGTCGGTCGCCGTCAGCAGGAACGGATGCGAGTAGGCCATGCCGGCAAGCCGGCCGCTAGGCGAGGGCTCGTGCCTGTACTGCGGCGACAGCACGCTCTCCTTGCCGCCACTCCCGATGTCGAGCAACCAGACGCCGAAGCTGCCATCGCAGAAGCCCAGAGCAATCCGGAGCGTCTGGTTGTCCGGAGCTCTGTCCTCGTCGACGGCCAGGCACGAAGGCATCCTGTCCGGGGCGTCGCGGGTAGCAACGGCGGCGGCGGGCCGCAGGCTCGTCTGCGCCATGATCTCGCGCGTCCGGAGGTCCCACGCACGCAGGCCCGACTCGGCGTCGGCCGTCACGGCGATGCCCTCGACCACCTTGACCAGCATCCTGGGCCGGCCGTCCGCGTGCGCTTGGCCGTTGTTCCTCGCCGGGCTGCCGTCGCCCAGCCTCAGCTCCTCGACGGCGCATGTGCCCTTGGACCAGTTGTGCCGGGTCCTGAATTGCCGCATCCAGTCGACCGTCTTGGGGACCGCTGCATCGTGCTTTGCCTCGCCGGCCGCGAGCGGCTTGGGGATGCACTGTGCTTGTTCATGCTGCTGCGTGTCAGTCTGGTGATAGTGGTAGTGGTGGTGGTAGTGGTAGTGGTAGTGGTAGTGGTAGTGGTAGTGGTAGTGGTAGTGGTAGTGGTAGTGGTAGTGGTAGTGGTAGTGGTAGTGGTAGTGGTAGTGGTAGTGGTAGTGGTAGTGGTAGTGGTAGTGGTAGTGGTAGTGGTAGTGGTAGTGGTAGTGGTAGTGGTAGTGGTAGTGGTAGTGGTAGTGATCGTGGTGATGATAGTGATCGTCGTGGTGGTGGTGGTAGTTACAGAGGCACACTTACAATACCACCCCGCCTGCCGTCGGCCCACAGCGCCTTGCGGCCGCTATAGTGCAGCTTATGATCTTGCCTCTGCTGCTGTGCGGGCCTCGCGCCGCGGAAGCCGGGGATGCGCAGGGCGCGCGGGAGCACGAAGCGCGAGTAGTAGTGCGCCTTCCACAGCTGCGAGTCGCAGGCCAGGCGCCAGAAGCGACGAGACACGAGCGACAGGTCGAGCAGCTGCGGGACGGCGAGGGAGGCGAGGATGCGCACCAACAGCTCGTCCGAGAGCGCCGAGATGCGGTCTTGCTCGTCGGGGTCTTGCTCGTCGGGGATCGTCGTGGTGGTGGCGGCGGTGGCGGCGGGTGTCGAGGGCGTGTCGAGTCGTGGCTTCTTTGTCGGCTGCAGCTCAACTGAGGCTGCGACGGCGCGCGTGTCTGTGCCTGCCGGCTCCGGCGAGGCGCGAGGCCGTTTAAGCGACATCGTCTCGAGGGTGCGGCGCCGGAGGACGGCTCCTGAGGGCTGCTGCCGCCTTGGTGGTGAAGGTTGGGAACGTCAATGCGGGTGGTTGGAGTTTGAGATGCGTGGGGCAAGATTATACCGCGTTGATGTGTTCTTTGGTAACTGGTGCCTACCAAGGCTTGAGTTTCGAGTTCTTCTCCCCATTTATCTGCATTCGTCTAGATCGATTCATTATCCCAAATTCATGTGTAAAAACTTGGTTTGAAAGGTACTTTGCACCGGTGCAATCCACAAACCCTGCGCTTGGCTTGAACCTTTGTTCGTATCTGTTCAAGAGTCGCCCCTCTTCTTGGCCGCAAGCGCCGCCCTCTCCTCCACCATCCTGGCCATGGCCGCCCCGTTGTCGGTGCCCAGCGCCGCGAACCCCGCCGCCACGCCCTTCCTGTCCTCCTCCCCCATCTCCTGGCTCATCTTCCACTTGCCCTCGAGCCGCTCCACCCTGATCTCTATGCCGATGATGTTCTTGCTCAGCAGCTCGACGTACCGCTCGGGCGCGTCCGAGACCTTCCACGGCTCGCGCGCGCCGTCCCCAGGCCCCCCCGTGTGGCCCGCGACGTGGCCCTCGGCGTGCCGCGACAGGTCGCCGAGCTGGCGCCGCAGGAACTCGGCCGTCGCCGGGTCCGCGCCGTCGCAGTAGACGCGCGCGCGCCCGTACGCCTGCACCGCCGCGTAGTTCCACGTCGGCACCACCTTGCCCGTCGTCGGCTTGGTCGCCACGTAGAACTGCGGCCGCACGTAGGCGTGGTCCGCGGCCGTGAACAGGACGCTGACCTCGGCCTCGATGGGGCCGTTGGCCGGCCGTCCGTCGCTGCTGTTGCTGCTGCTGTTGCTGCTGCTGTTGCTGCTGCTGTTGCTGTTGCTGTTGCTGTCTGGTGAGGCGGCCTCCGCCAAGGCCTTGCTGTGCGGGTTCATGCGGGCCAGGTGGCCGCGGAGAGTGCCCAGCTCGGCTTCGTCGGCTTCGTCGGCCACGTCCAAGATCCATGGAATGTGCGTGCACTGGATCGTCGGGTGGTTCGGTGACGGCAGTGCCGTGACCAGAACCCCGAGGGGGTTGTCCCTGATGAGCTGCCGCAGGGTCGGCACATGGGTCTCGACGTGCTTGGGTGGAAGATGCATGGTCTCGGAACTGGCAATTTGTCTGATATCTATCTCTACGCCAGCAATATCAAGCAGCGTAGCAGGAGGGCTTATTATAGTCGTTCCCAATCAGCTGCATCCCATTACTAACCACAAGTGACTCAAAATGCTCTAAATGTGTGCACTTTGGAATCAGTCCATGTGAGAAATCGAATATGTTTGTTTTCCATTACCCGACGTTTGAGGGAGTATCTATGGGGTAATACGTATTACGCGCATGCAAAGCGTAGGCGGGGGGAGTCAATCACTCAAACACTATCGTGACACTATTTGTCCAGGAAACCTTGTAGTCGACGCCCTTCAGATCGCCGTGGCATCAGCGACGCCCTTCAGGTCGCCGTGGCATCAGCGGCGCCCTTCATGTCGCCAATGGCATCAACGTCGCCCTTCTCGCCCTGTATTAGAAATTACACTCGCACTCCTCGGGGGTTCCTCCGATGCCCTGACCGGAGAGCCCGTAGCGACGGGCAGCCTTCTGCAAGAGTTCGGCGTTCCACTAGGCGGTCCCGTAAATCCTCCTGCAGACCACCTCGGCGCCGGTCAGCACGCAGTCCGTGAGCTTGCCGCCCTGCCTCTCCAGCTCCATGTCGATGACGACGGCCGTGTTGATGTCGACCTTGGACGGCGTGGCGCCTCCCGTCACACCCGCTGCCGTGACCGCCATGTCGGAGAAGACGACGTTGTCAAAGTCGGCGAGCGGCACCGGCATCCCGACGGACTGCTCCAGCACAAAGTCCTCGACCAGCCACGAGGCCTGGCCGCGGCACAGCTTGCCCGCGGCGGCGGCGTCGTCGAGCGTCTGCGTCGACTGCAGGCCGGTCGACAGGTTCTCGAACGTGACGCTGACCGTGCCGTTGGTGCTGCTGCTGCTGCCGCCGGCATTGGCCGTCACGCGCACCGCGTCGCCCGGCCCGGCGTTGAGCGGGCTCGCAAAGTCGACGGACCGGCTGTCGGCGAACTGGTACCAGGCGTTGTACGAAGTGCCCTCGGGGTCCCAGAAGACGTCGACGCCGGCGCGCAGCGTGGCCGCCGTGCAGGACCCAATGCCGTCGATGCCGACCCAGAAGGAGGCGCCGTACGTGATTGGGTTGTTGCGCGTCGGGCCCCGCGTCGGCTGCCGCGCCTCGGGGACCCGGAACGTGCCCGTGACCGACGCGATCTTGGAGGCCGAGACTGTCGCTCCGCCAACGACCGACTGCCGCTCGGCGCGCTCGGCCGTGGCAGGGGCAGCAAACTTGAAGTTCTTGAGTGCGCGGTGGTCGTTGGTGAGCTGCTGTAGCATCCTCGCCGTCCGGGCCACCTGGTGCTTCTCGGGCCGGTGCTGCGAGTAGCCCTTGAGCATATTGGCGCTCGCCCCGGCAGCGGCCAGGGCGGCTGTGATGACGCTGGTGAGCTTCATTCTGAGGATGTGTAGGGGTTGAGACGAGAATGACGAGTGTCGTGAAATGTCTGGATATCGTAGGCGAGCAAAACGAGCGACTCTGGTCCAAAGACGAAGCGCGGATGAGATTAGAACCCGCTCCCAAGACGAGGACAGAGCAGGTGAGGATATGGTCGAAAAAAGAACCGAGCAAAGGGTGGGTGGATAGTGTCAGACTGAGAGTGAAAAGCAAACAAGGAAACGGGGAGAGTCTGGGAGCAATAAAAAAAAAAACGAGGGGGATGGGTAGAGGTATTGACTGAAGTAAGGTGGTAGGCGCTCTCCCCGTCGATAAGGCAGGAGGACCCATGATCACCTACCGAACCATCTTCTCCCTTTCGGCCGTGGCCGCGTCTTGTCGTGCTCGTTGTGCCTGCCGTGTCCTGTCCAGTGTAACCTAGGAAGGAAGCGCGTTTTTTTTGCCGGATCTTTACTGGCACACCCCCTGCAGCAAACACGGCATCTCCAGGGGCCACGCTTCCCAATACGAGGGTCCCAGCAGTGGGAAGCCGCCATCATGTAGATCATCGATGCAGGCCATGTGGACCCCTGCTGGTTGGCGGCTGCGGCTTTTGGGGCGATGGCGTTGTGGTAGGTGGGTGGACGCTGATGCGACGCTGCCCCAACCCCCGCGAAAGGCGGCAGGCCACAGCCAATACGTGCCCCGCCAAGTGCAAGCAAGCACGGGCGGGCTGTTACGATGCTGCCAGAATAGCAAACACTTTACATGAAAAGAGGGCAGGTAACAAGGATCGTGTGCCTTGTCATCTGTTGCTCCCGCCGTGGAAAGCCATCTGGGGAAAGATTGGAACACTTTACTCCAGGGGAAAGATTGGAACACTTCACTCCAGGCCTCAGTCGCCACAACCCCGCAGTTCTGGTGGTTCTGTCATTCTAGCTAGTTCTTCACTCCAGCAGCACCGGTAGATACCCTAGCATTTCTTCCATCTCGACTCATTTGAAGCCGGTCCAAACGGGTCCTCCAGGAACCTTGTACTCGGTCGCCTTGGAGCTGTAAATGTCGATCTGAGACCCCAGCAGCCCCGTGTCAGCAAACATGTCTCCTCGATGCCCACGAAGAAGGGGTCTCCTCGACACCCAACGAGGAAGGGGGAGGACACCACCTGGACACACTTACCCGCACTCCTGGGTCGCTCATGGGCGCGTACGTCGGGATGGAGAACTTGTGCGTGTCGGGCGGCAGCGCCGTCCCCGCGCCCTGGATCTCGATCTGGGCGCACTCGGGGTAGAACTGCGGCGTGTTGGACTGGTGCAGCGCCAGCAGCTCGTGGCGGATCAGGTAGTTGCCCGGCTTGATGCCGGCCGGGATCTTGGAGCTCCACTTGCCCGTCTTGAGCACGATGGCCGTCCCCCAGTTCTCCGAGTTGAGCTTGCCGCCCCACATGCCCATCTCGTCGATCTTGAACCAGCCCTTGCCATCGCCGCGGCAGGCCGAGGACCCGTGCGCGCCCTCGCACCTGTACAGCCACACGGTGACGGGCCCCTGGGCGTGCGTCCACTGCTTCCAAAAGGCCGTGATGTTTGTCCCGGCCTTGACGGGCGCCACCAGGTCCGCGCGCGTGCCGCCGTTGCACCGCATCTTGGCGTCGGCCGGGTTCATGACGGGGTCGTAGTTGGGCCACTGGAACTGGATCGTCTTGGGCGACGAGTTGGGCGAGAAGCCCTCGTAGCCCGGGTACTTGACCCCGCCGATCTCGTAGCTGGTCACGGCGCCGTGGCACGCGGCCAGGGGCGCCACGGCGGCCAGGGAGGCGAGGATGCTGAGCCTCATGGTTTGCTGGGTTGTTGGCTGCTGGGTTGTTGGCTGCTGGGAGCTGTTTGGACGTGGACTACGGGGCGCTCTGTTCAGGACGGCGTGGAACGTGACAGGGACGTGGCGGAGAGTGCAAGAGACTCGGGGAATAGGGTCTATATAGGATAGTATTCCACATGGACATTCCCCGTGGGGAAAGAACCCGTGCCATCGCATCGGGGAACGCCATTCGTCGGCGGGCAATGGGGAAGCGGGATGGGAGCAGACATGACTTGTTTATTTTATATTGCGAGGGCGGGTGACATGGCGCAAGCCTCACTTGGCGGCAGGTTGTAGTGACCTCTTGATGTAGCAGTGCTCGGGCTTTCGCCGGCGGGTCGGAGTCTTGGGGGCCGGGAGGCGGAACAGGTAATTAACTGATGGATGCTATAGCTCAATATCGGGGTAAATAGAGGGTGGTGGCATGGCCTCCGGGGCGGTTAAATCGGAGGTGCCCCGGCACAATAGGGAACTTGTGTGGGCGCCTCCATGAGGGTTCGAGTAGCAACAAATTCTAATCCCCCATCAAGTAGGTGCTTGGTGATGTGTTCATACCTGGCATTGAGACGCCATATCTGCGCTGACAAGTCTTTCAGGGCTGTGTGGCGGCTGGTCTTGTTGACTCTATACTGCACTTTTTGTCAAACATCTCAACTTGACCCTTCTGCAAGGCCGATGGGTGAGCTAGAGACAAACTTTTGGCCCTGGTGAGGTAGAGACAAACTTTTAGCCCTGGTGAGCTAGAGACAAACTTTTCGCCCTGGTTCGATTACCCCTCCACGCCAAACGCGTCGGATGGAACCTGTACTGTGGGACTCCGCTCGTGGCTAACGCCAAAACACGTGGGTGTCAGCAACTGCGCTTTGAAAATACAGTCACGTGAACCTTGTAAGATGCCCTCGATCAAACTACATACATGTAAGGGATGAGGTCAAATAAAGGCGTAACGACCATCAGGAAAAGGAGGCGCCCTTTCAGCAGCCTTTTGTGAACCTCAAAGGTTTGTACTTGGGTGATCTTTGTTCTTCGGAGCATAACAACTTGTATCTCTCTTTCTTCGTACTATATATTTCCGTATCCCCACCTCTACCTCCGACGCAGCTTGAGAACCCTCAGCACACAACGCACAAGACTTCCAGACACCACGAACACGACCAATACGGTAAAGATCAAAGCTGCCTGGGAGTTGAAGAAAGATGGATGTTCCGCAGAGGAGAACTTTGCTCACTCAGAGGCCTTCGCCTCCTCTCGGCCCTCCAGACGGAGTGGCCCGATGGGAATTGGCAGGGGGGGCCTGCCCGATCGAGATCCGGTTCCGTACACGCTCAGTCCCACTGTGTACACTCGACCAAGATCTCAAAGAGTTCACGGTCAAGGCTGGAGTTTCTCCAGACCAGGAGACCACGCTGCGGTTCGAGGTCAAAAGGAGGGATTCACCATTCTCCTGCATGCGCGGGTGGGTCGACTGGGCCCAGGGCTGGATCTGGGTCCAGTCTTTCGATAGGAACAACGCGAGGCTCATGTACTACGCACCAGGTAGGTGTGGGCCGGAGACTCCCTGTCTGAAGCAAATGACGGCGGCTGTGTGGGCGCAGCATATGGCCCCCCCAGGATCCGACCCGATCCTGAAATTCGTCGCCATGGTCGATGCAGGGGACCCTGAGATCCGGGGGATGTTGCGCTCGCTAGCGCCCGATCTGACAGCTCGTTGTTGTTTCGAGATCTCTCGTTCTGCACCCATGATGTGCGGCAGCTGGTTGGAGCTTTCGACATCTCAGGCTGAGGAGGTCTTGACAATACTCTGCAAACTGGTAGTCCCACCTCCGGGTACCTTTGGCGACAAGGTGTATCCGGAGAGTGCTCGGTGTTTGGTCCGGGCTGGCATCACGGCACAGTATGATGTAGTGATCAAGTTCAAGCGTAAAACGGTGCCCGTGGTCCGGTTTGCCAAAGAGTCCCAATGACCGGGGCGATCGTTCTGGTGGTTTAGGGGTGCAGCGGAGTAAGCGTGCGCCTGGCCCTTTGCAAAGGCGTGGTAGGCTTTTTGCTCGGGCCTCGGTCTGCTCAAGCTACGGGCTGGTCCTGTTGGGTTCAACACTTGGGGCCGGCCGGCCGGTGGGTGCGAGGAACCGAAAAAAGGCGGGCGGGCCGGCCGGCGCTGTCAAGGGTCGCGCGGGCGCCCGGGGATAAGGCGCCCGCTTAATTGAAAAGGCATTGAATTTCCGTGCAAATTAAAGTATCGCGGCGCAGATTGAAGGCGTTAAAGTGCGTGGTTGATTGAAAGTATCGCCGTGTTGATTAAAGGTATCGCCGTGCAGATGGTGTAGATTTGGTGCAGTCGGTGCAGATGGTGCAGTCGGTGTAGACGGTGTGGGTTGGTGCAGGTTGGGGCACGCAGTGTAGACTGTGCAATCGGTGCAGTCAGTGTAGGTTAGTACACGCGGTATAGATTGGTGCAGTCGGTGCAGATGGTGCAGATGGTGCAGATGGTGCAGGTTGGGGCACGCAGTGTAGATTGGTGTAGATTGGTGTAGATTGCAGTGCACGCGGGGCACGCGGTGTAAACTGGTGCAGATTCAGACTGGTGCACGCGGTGAACGCGGTGCAGACTGGTGTAGATTGGTGCAATCGGTGTAGTCGGTGCAGGTTAGTACACGCGGTATAGATTGGTGCAGTCGGTGCAGATTGGTGCACGCGGTCGGTACAATCAATCGGTGCACGCGGTGCAGATTGGTGCAGATTGCAGTGCACGCAGTGCAAATCTGGCTATTGAGACATGGCCTAATTGTAAACGCCCTTTCAACGTTCAATATCCCTCACTCCTGTACCAAGGACCGACAAGGACACCCAAGCAATGCCCTTTATTTGGGGGGGGTGGGGGGGGNGGGGGGGGGTGGGGGT